TATATATATATATATTAATTTGTTAAGATGAGTGCGCACAGATAGCAAATAGTAAGATTGTTTGCACAAGTTTTAAATAGTGAGTATAGGTTTCAAATTACGTTTCTTGTTTCAAAGTCTAGAGTCAAAAATTAAAACTCGTGGATCCCCATAGTGTTAGTTGCTCGTTATTTCTATCTTTGAATTAATGGGTCACTCTTTTTATTAGATAGTGACACTTAAATTTCTTTAAGCCTTAACCCACTTAATGGAAATAGAATAGAGATTAGAGTCCCCCCATGGCTAAAAAGGAAGAGAAAAAAAAGAACAGGTATGATTGCTTTCTAATAAAGGACCAGAAGGAGACAAATAGTGTTGAGGTGTATGAAACTAAAAGAAAGTAGACCTCCAACACGTCATGTATTTAGGTGGCATTCAGGATTCATGCAACTTGTTTCTGGGGTCTTATGTAAACTGTTTTAAATTAACAGTTTTACATTTTTTTTTTATATTTGCATTATGTATTATTTTTATCTAGCCAATCCCACGTGTGCAAGACAAATATTATTACATTATTATTGTTAAAGTAGAGAAAGTATGTGAGGAAAATGTACAGCACCACACTACGCTTTAACCTTTCTCTCTTTTTGTAAGCTGAGTAATAAGATGGGCCAAAAGTTTATTATTATTATAAGAGATGGATAAGACACGAAAGATACATATCATCATCATCGTACGCGCTTTCTATCCATCTACTTTTTTTGTGTGAAATTAATATACTTAAGTTTAATTATTTTTTACTCTTTATATTTATACAATTTTCTTTGTAATCTCTATCGTTAGAACTAGTATGTTTTAGTCTCTACAAATACATTTTTTTCAAATCAATTCATAACACTAATTAATGTCTAACATTGTTTTATGTTGTTGACGTGACTATGAACATATTGACTGACCTTTGTTTGATCATTAATGGGTTGGAAAGTGGATTGTGACGTGTTACTCTCTTGTTAATACAACACTCAAACTTTAAAAAATAGTTGCCATAAGTTAAAGAGCTAGCCTTCCATCCCTCCAACAAAGGTAGTGCCACTAGTAGTCACGCAAAAATGAGTATTGCGACGAAGAGAAAACTCATATAGAGTTTACAACAAGGAACTATATCTCATGGGAAAAACTAATGGATTTCAAGGTCATGTAAAAATAACATAGATGTTAAACACAAAATAACAGCATGAACTAATTTCACAAGGGAAAAAAATGTGTTTCTATAAAAATTAAAACGTACTGTTTATAACAATAAGGACTAAAAGAAAAAGAATAAACTTTTGCAAGTATAAAAATTAAAAAATAAATGAATCATATATTTAATAGAGAAATTTCAAGTGAAAAAATCTAATCAATTTTTTTGTAAGTGATAAGGAATAAGAGTTCTCTATTTCTAAAATGAAAATGATTATTTGCATGAGTCTATCACACGAAAAATGGAAGAATGTTGTTAGATGTTTTTAATCTATATTGTGAAATATACCGGATTGACTAATCCAATCAAAAAGTTGATGAGTCCAACACCTAAATGATTCAAATGAATCATAAAATTGACATAACAAAAACTCGATATAAGAATATAAAAAAAATCAATAAAAAAATAATTTTGAACACGTTAACCAAGTTTTTTTTAAACAATAATATTTTACTAATGATATGCACTTCATCGAAAAAAAATTAATTTGAAAATTAAAAAAATAAGCTTGACATTTAATGGAAAACAATGAATTGTTGGTGAAGGTGTTTATGGAACTTCATTTTGTAATATTTATAATTTTTCCTATTTATCATCATCGCATTATTAGCACATGAGAGTTGTACTCCATCATTAATTAAGATACAAATAATACATTTATGTTGATACATATTTTATTATTGTTGTTAATTGATTTATCATAATCTTTTCAAAATATATCAAAATATTATAACTAATTTTGTATTAACATCTTTAATTCATGAATTTTTTATTCAAGGACGAATCCATATAGCTGTAAGAGTAGGGATAGTTGTCCCCTCTAAAATTTCTCTTTTTTATTTTTTTATATTATTATTTTCTTTATAATATATATAAATTATGTTTTATTTTATTAAAAAAAATTATTAAGTAATGA